TGTACCGGTTCCACCCCCCCCCCCCCCCCCCCAAACAAAAATCTGCATGTCACTCCTACAACACTACGTTTTTATTCCTCCGTGGCTTTTGGCGTGACTTCCGTACTATAAACTGCCACGTGCTGGATATTTCCCTCCGGTGCTATGTGCAGATTCTTTTTGGGGGGTTTAGGATTTTCTACTGTAGCTCGAAAAGCCCAAATCCTTCTGCACAACATCATCTTTAGTTTAGGGTGTGCTGTGTATACTCGACATCAGATCCTGCAAATGGCATTAAGTTCTAGTCACGCAGACAGTTATCGGCTTGTCGTGCGCTGAAAACGGGAGCTTTATCCACAACCGAAGACCTGGATCTGTGCGTCTCTGGAAAGTTTTCATTCTTTTTTTTTTTTATATTATTTTTCCTCCCAGTCTCCCGGCATTCTTGGAGGGTTTGGAGGAGCTTCTCCCTGAGGTGATCTTCACAGTGCAGGCCAGACCCCGGCAAAAGGCTATACCAAAAAAAAATACAGACCTTTTAGAATCTAGGTATTATTCCCCCCCCAAAAAAAAAACGTTTCTTTCCCTTGTGTGTGAACTCGGGTGAGGCTGGAATCCCCGCACAGTGAGAGACAATCGAGGTGTTCCATCTAGGCGGAATCGAATTTGCTATTTTTGTAAACTTGACAGATGATTATAGGGAGGTGACAAACATATTTTATGTAGCAAATTGTATAAAGGTTGAATTTGAGAAAAAAAAAAAAAGATATACAACCGCTAATATTGGTGACATGTTATTGCTCTTAAATAAAGTTATGTCTGCTAAAAACCCAGTGTCTGTATTTCATTACTGCTAAGGATGAGAATATCAGTGTTAGGGTGACACCCCCTGGCAGGGGGGGCGCGGTCGAAGTACCAGCCGGTGTTCACCAGAGCTCCTGATTTGTGGAGATGGGCTTGGCTGCTTGCTGGTACCAGGTCGCGGTCCCCAGGGTTGCCCTGCCAAGAGAACGGGGGCTCCAATGAGGAGACAGTAGTCGGGTCCAGGCAGAGTTCAAGGCAGGCGGCTAGCAGAGGGTGATCGGGCAGTCCATGGTCAGCAACGAGTAATCGCAGGATAAACGCAGGAGACCAGAGCAAAGTCGGGTCCAGGCAGAAGATCAGGGCGGGCAGCAAGCGAAGAAGGGTCAGACGGTCCAGGTCAGCAATGAGAAACCAGCAGAAGTATCAGCTCTTTCACAAACAGGAAGCTGGCAAAAAGGCACAGCACCAGCTCCTCACAGAGCTAGTGCTTAAATACCCCTCTGAATCGTAGACGGCACGCCCAGCCTCAGAGTACACTGGAAGTCCTGGTCTGGGATCTATTACTATTATCAGCCATACTGGCCTGGACCCTGTGAGATCCATTAGTAGAGGAAGTCCTGGCTGGGATTCTCAGAGGAGAATGGTAAACCCGGACGGGTACTCTGAGCTTACCATACGCATCAGACTGCTCTGTGTGGCCATAAGTATGCTTGACTGAGTTCAGGTGGCCTAGACTTAAAATGAAGCTATGCAATCTCTATCGACAGTGGCCAGTGGGGATGTCCCGATACCGATGCTAGCATCGGAATCGGGCCCGATACAGGGCATTTTGCCAAGTACTTGTCAAAATGCCCCCATTGCATAGCGCCGAAGCTTGCGCTGTTTTTTTTGGTTTTTTTTCTTACCTCGCCGAGCGTCGCGTCACTGCTCCGGTTAGGCGGCGCTCCAGGTGGGGTCCTAATTTAGGTGGCTGGCGACTGCCAGAGGACCCCACTCGGAGTGCCGCCCACCAGAGCAGCAGTGA